TCGACCTCAGGTGATCCACCCGCCTTGGCCTCCCCAAGTGCTGAGATAACAGGCATGAGCCACCACACCTGGCCTATGTTGTCATATTTATGAGCATAAAGTTGTTGACAAGATTCCCTTATTATACTGTTAAATGGATAGCAGATTGATATTCCCTGTTTCATTCCAGATATTGATGATTTGTCATCTCATTTTATATTTTTAATCAATATTGCCAGACGTTTATCAATTTTATTGATTTTTTCCAAAAAAACCCTACGCTTCATTAGTTTTCTCTACTTTTTCGTATTTTCAATTTTACTGATTTCTGCTTCCAGTATTATTTTCTTCCTTCTACTTAACAGAGGTTTTATTTTGCTCTTTGCTAGTTTTTTAATGTAGAAAGTCAATTATGGATTTGCGACCTATTATCCTCTTTAATGTTAGCATTTAGTGCTATACATTTCTCTACCAGCACTGCTTTAGCTACCTCCCACAAATATTGATATGGTATGGTCTCATTTTCATTAAGTCTATGCGCTTCTACTATTGAATTTGAGGTCTCTTCTTCACTCCAGACTTTATTTAAACTCTGATGCTTAATTTCTAAATGATTAAATATTTTCCTATTGTCATTCTATTACTGATTTGTAGTTTGGTTTCATTATGGCCAGAAAACATACATACTCAGAATGATTTCAATTCTTTTAAATCTGCCAAGGCTTATCTATGGCCCAGGATATGGTCTATCTTTCTGAATATTCCATGGACACTTGAGAAAAAAATTGTATTTTGCTGTTGTTGGGCACTATTCTTTTTTTTTTTTTTTTTTTTGAGACAGATTCTCATTCTGTAACCTAAGCTTTGTAACACAATCGTGGCTCACTGCAACCTTCGCCTCCCGGTTCAAGCAATTCTCCTGCCTTGGCTTCCTAAGTAGCTGGGACTACAGGCATGCGCCACTATGCCTGGCTAATTTTTGTATTTTTAGTAGAGACAAGGTTTCACCATGTTATCCAGACTACTCTTGAACTCCTGACTTCAAGCAATCCACCCACCTCGGCTTCCCAAAGTGCTGGGATTACAAGTGTGGGCCACCGCACCCGGCCTTGTTGAGCACTATTCTACAATGTTGCTTCAGTCCTGTTGGCTGATGTTGCTGTCCTGTTCTTCTATATCTGCCAGTAATCATGGCTAGTAATTCTACCAATTGCTAAGAGTGATGAATTTTCCAACTACAATTTAAAATGTGCTTTTCTCTTTTCAGCTCAGTTTTGTTTTGTGTATTTTGAGGTTTGCTAGAGACACATTTAGGATCATTGCATTTTTGTTGGATTGATCCTTTTATCATTACATAATGTTCTTTCTGTCTAGTAATTTTCTTTGTTCTGGAGTCTACTGTATTTGATATTAACAGTGTCACTCTTTGTTTTGATTAATGTTTGTATAGTTTATCTTTTTATATACTTTATCAACCTATGTTGTTCACTATGTTATGAGTTTCCTAAGAAACATTTTTAGGATGGGTGGAACAAGATGGTGGAATAGAGAACGCCACCTATCATACCCACTCCCTTGCAGGAAGACTAAAATTGACAACTATCTACACAAAAGAAGCAGTTTCACAGGAAGAGTCACGTGAGCACTTACAGAGTGGTTTTCACTTCATATGGCTGAAACAGAACAGTTCGGAAGTTCCTGAAAAAACTAAAAATAGAGCTATCATATGATCCAGCAATCCCACTCCTAGGTATATACCCAAAAGAAAAGAAATCAGTACATCAATGAGATATCTCTGCTCCCATGTTTACTGCAGCACTGTTCACAACAGCTAAGATCTGCTAAGTGTCCACAACAGCTAAGTGTCCATTCACAGATAAACAGATAAAGAAAATGTGGTACATATACACAATGGAGTACCATTCAGCCATAAAAAAGAATGAGAGATCCTGTCATATGCAACAAAGTAGATGGAAATGGAGGCACAGAATGTTAATTTTGCATGTCCTCATTTATTTGTGAAAGCTAAAAATTAACACAACTGAACTCGTGGAGGTGAGGTAGAAAGTAAAAGGATGGTTACCAGAGGCTGGGAAAGGTAGTGGGGTGGGGTGGGGGTAAGGTGAGGATGGTTAAAGGGTACAAAAAAAGTTAGAAAGAATGAATAAGATCTAATATTTGCTAGCGCAACAGGCTGACTATAGTCAAATTTAATTGTACATTTTAAAATGACTAAAAGAGTATAACTGGATTGTTTGTAACACAGAAGATAAATACTTGTGGGAATAGACACCCAATTTACCCTAATGTGATTACCAGACATTGAGTGCCTGTATCAAAACAGCTCCTGTACCCCAAAAATATATACATCTACTATGTACTCACAAAAATTAAAAATTTTAGAATCATGTTTTACGTTTTTTCCACTCTGCCAATTTATATTTTAATTAGTGTACTCTGATTATTTACATTTAAGGTAAATATTGCTCTGCTAGGCTGCTATTTGTTTTGTTTTCTGTTTTCCATTCATCTGTTCCTTTTTCCTTATTTTCCTATTAGTTACCTAAATATTCCTTTAGATTCCATGTTGGTTTATTTACAGTATTTCTAAGTGTACCACATTTTATAGTTTTCTCAGTAGTTGTTCTAGGTATAAAAATGTACATATGTAACTTATCACACTCTATCAGGCATTTTACCACTTCAAGTGAAATGTACCAAGTTTCATTCTACTTAGGCCCCTTTACCCTCCCCACTTTTAAAATATAATTGTCTTAAGTGTTTCCCCTACATACAGAGCATTTTGCTGCAACCATCAAAAATGATTCTAGAAACTCATGAGAAAAATATATTTATCCCCATTTTTGCCAACCTCCAATCTTCTTTCTTTCCTGCATTCCAAGCCTTCTTGTGTTAGTTCCGTTCTATTTAGAGAACTGCTAGTCAATTTTTAAAGGTAGGTTTGCTAGCAACATTTTCTCTTAGCTTCGCTGTCTAATGATGCCTTTAGTTCCCCTTTATTCATGAATATAGTTTCAAAAGACACAGATTTTTTATTTGATAGTGCTTTCCTGTCAGTACTTGAGAAAATATACTACTTCCTTCCAGCCACCATAGTTTCAGAAGAGAAACCCACCGTCATTCCCTGTAGAGAATGTGCTGTTTCTCTCTGGCTACTTTGAAAATTTTTTCTTTAGTTTTCAAAAATTTAATTACAGTGTGAGTTTGCCATGGACTTAACTTATTTGATGTTACTTCAGACTCGGGAATGTGTAGTTTTATATCTTTTGCTAAATTTGAGAAGGTCCAGCCATTACTTCTTCAAATACTTTAAACACCTCTTTCCCTTCCTTCTGATGTTACAAATGTTAGTTCTTTTGTTATTGCCCCACTTTCCAAATACTGAGAATCAAACCTCTTCCCATTCCCTCCTGCCTTCCGGCTTTGTCCAAGCTACCACAATCATTCATAAGAAAAATTACCACAGGCCTTTAATGCGCTCTCTATGCCCTATGCCATGCCCAATATTTCCTCTAAGGAGGTGAGAAAGATCTTATAGAAATATAAATCAGATGTTGCTCATCTGCTGAAAATCTACCACTAAATTAAAAGTAAAATTAACTGAGTAAGGCTTATGATAGGCTCACCTTTGGACTCCAGCTGCCTTCAATCAACCCCTCCCTTCAGCCACTGTGACTTTTTGGTTATTCCTGAAAACCACCAAGCACATTCCTGTCCAAGGCTAGAAGCTGCAACTACCCCTGCTGAAAAGGGGCAGAATCCTCATGGCTCCCACAGTCATTTCATTCAAGTTTCTGCTCTAATGTTGACCTCATTAAGGCTTCCCCTGACTGTTCCTTAAAGTACCACATTCAGCCAATCTAACTTCCTTTAATTTCTATCAGTGTCTTCAAAACCACAGAAGAGGCCGGGCGCGGTGGCTCAAGCCTGTAATCCCAGCACTTTGGGAGGCTGAGGCAGGTGGATCACGAGGTCAGGAGATCGAGACTATCCTGGCTAACATGGTGAAACCCCGTCTCTACTAAAAATACAAAAACTAGCGGGCGTGGTGGGGCGCTGTAGTCTCAGCTACTTGGGAGGCTGAGGCCGGAGAATGGCGTGAACCCGGGAGGCGGAGCTTGCAGTGAGCCGAGATCACGCCACTGCACTCCAGCCTGGGAGACACAGCGAGACTCTGTCTCAAAAAAAAAAAAAAAAACCACAGAACATTTAATATACATATACATATAAGTATACATAATATACTTAGAGACATAATTTTTTTTTTTTTTTTTTTTATGTACTTGTTTTTGAGAGACAGTCTCACTCTGTCTCCCAGGCTGGAGTGCAGTGGCGCAATCTCAGCTCACTGCAACCTCTGCCTCCCGGGTTCAAGTGATTCTCCTGCCTCAGCCTCCCAAGTAGCTGGGATTACAGGCACCTGCCACCACGTCCAGCTAATTGTGTATTTTTAGTAGAGACGGGGTTTCTCCATGTTCGCCAGGCTGTTCTCAAACTCCTGACCTCAAGTGATCTGCCTGCCTTGACCTGCGCTGGGATTACAGGTGTGAACTACCATGCCCGGCCTAATGTTTTTCATCATTATATTCTCAGCACACAGCAAGTACTCAAAAATTATTTGCTGAGTTTAAAAATGAGTGTATAAAAAATTCTGACAACAGAATAAACACAAACAATGGAGGTAAGGTGGGACACTGAAAGTGCTTTAAGAAAAATGATAACCAAGAAAAGATACGAAACAAAGTAAAGTTGAGGTGGGCAAAGACTCAACTATTGACAGGTGTAAGAATAGCAAACATTCAAAAAAATGATTCAAAAAGGAGGAATTTTGTGAGTAGTGTCTGGAGGTTTGATTTAGGTATTCTCCATCACTTCCACAGGTTAGGACCCCTATGGAGATGTTCTTAAAAAATGTCCCAAAGTTGCCAATCCCTGAATTGGAAACTACTTGGAAAAAACAAATCCCCTGATGTGAATCTGTGCAGTACATATTAACTCACCTGGAAAGCTCTGGCTTGGGAATTCTTCCTCCAGTCTCCATGGCTCTTCTCCTTGTTCCAGCCTGGAGATCACCTCTGGTTTGTGAACACAATACCCTGTTAACAGGAAATAATTTAGCATTTGGACCAAGCAGTCTAGACTTCAGGCCTTTGAAGCAGGAAGAAGCTTCTGGGGCTGCTTCAAGTTGCCAGTGGAACATTTTCACTGGAGAAGTGAACACAAGTATCTTCTGGTGCTCAAAGGTGATCAATCAACACTGACTCCTGCAGCCTAACCTTAAATATCATTAAACTATATAGACTGCCCATATGCTTCATAATCAAAAGAATAAACAAATGCTATTTAGAATGATACAGTGAACAGACCTTACCCACTGAGACAAGGTTGCTGTAGTTCTCCAGCATCACATCTCTATACAGAGCCCTCTGACTAGGATCCAGGTGCTGCCACTCCTCCTGGGTGAAGCCCACAGTCACATCTTTAAATGATATTGACCCCTGGAACTTCTGTTCTACCTGAAATGTTCAGAATTAGGTGGCATGAAAAAAGAAGTATGGGCTAATCCTTACCACGATTATTATTCATAGAATATTTGTTTTGCTTTGTACTTTTAGGGAAAAAAAGAAATCATAACAGAAATATTCTGCCATTAATGCATTAAGATATTAATTCATGCAAAAGAAATCATGAAGTTCCTACAATGTACCTGGAACTATCATCACTGCTGGAAATACTAAGATTAATAAAAATCTTCCTGTGATCAAAGAACATACAGAGTGATAAGAAAATATATGTGGTAACATGTTAGAAGTACTAAGGTGAAAGTACAAACACAATAGACTAATATTAGGAGCAAAGTTAGCTCTGTTTTGAGCTTAACTGAGGAAGTACAGCTGTTGGTTAAATTACGAAGAACACTCTGTTACGTTCTTCATAAGCATGGGGCCATGATACAAGCATAGGTGAGGGCCTCCAACACAATGCAGACATCAACAAAAAGACAGACAGCACAGGAGATGGCCTGGTGCTATCTTGAGAAAAAAAGTCAAAGATATGGGTTATAGAGTAATTTTAGACCAATGGTCTCCAGAGAATTTGATCATTTACCATTTTCAAGAATATTACTGAGAACTACAGATTTATATTTACAAATCACAGAAATAAATTGTCAGTACATTTATTAGGAATTCCAATTTAATTCTCATTTGGATTTAAAAATGTAGAGAAAGAGCCTGACATTTTCTTCATCACAATACATATTCTGGGTTCTAATCCTTTAATTCAGAGATAATAATAAGGATGTAGAGAAAATGGAAAGATTTTGGAAGTATTATACTTGAAACATCTGTGGAGTACATAGGAGAAGACATCCAATAGGATTGTTCTGGATATCCTCTAGGGCGCATCTTTTAGGGATCACTGCTGTGAAAAAGGGAGAGCCAAAGATGAGACGTGAGCATATACTGAAATTACGTGATCAGGTTTTGTTTACAGAACCAATTCTATTGAGAACAGCAAGGGACAAAACAACATTTACATAAACTACTGTAGAAGAAACCAGGATGCAAATAGGGCACAGATAATAGGAGACAGAGCAACAAAATGTGGTCACCAACTCATTAAGAAAAAAAATGTTTCCTCTGCCTATCCCCATGAACAGCTGCCCAGATACTAGGGTCACCACGTAAACCAGGAAAAGTTAGGGCAAAATAGGTTGGACACAGTATTCTAGCAAGAAATGTCCTAAATATATTAACTTTGAAGCATAGGCTTAGTGCAGTGGCTCACGCCTATAATCTCCACACTTTGGGAGGCTGAGGGAGGTGGATCACCTGAGGTCAGGAGTTAGAGACCAGCCTGACCAAAATGGTGAAACCCCATCTCTACTAAAAATACAAAACATTAGCCAGGTGTGGTGGCCGGCACCTGTAATCCCAGCTACTTAGGAGGCTGAGACAGGAGAAACCCTTTAACCTGGGAGGCAGATGTTGCAGTGAGCCAAGGTCAGCGCCATTGCACTCCAGCCTGGGTAACAAAAGCAAAACTCCAACTCAAAAAAAAAAAAAAAATGAAGCATAATATGAAAATCAAGAATGAAACAAGGACTACAGAGACATTTATAATATAGTGGTGTTCAAAGACATCAAGAGAAAATCAGACGGTTGTCAGAAAACTGAGGAAGGAAAATAATCAAGAATGGAACTGGAGGCCAGGCACGGTGGCTCGCATCTGTAATTCTAGTACGTCAAGGCAGGCGGCTCACTTGAGGTCAGGAGTTCAAGACCAGCCTGGCCAACATGGTGAAACCCCGTCGCTACTAAATATACAAAAACATTAGCCAGGCATGGTGGTGGGTGCCTGTAATCCCAGTTCCTCGGGAGGCTAAGGCAGGAGAATCACTTGAACCCGGGAGGTGGAGGTCGCAGTGAGCTGAGATCACACCACTGCACTCCAGCCTGGGCAACACTATCTCAAAAAAAAAAGGTAAGTAATTCTTCCCAAATTTATATATAGGTTCAATTCAACCCCAAAGAAAGTCTCAGCAAGTTATTTTATGAATACCAACAACATTTGTATGGAAATGCAAGGAACTAGGAAGAGCCAGGATATTGCTGAAGAAAAAAATGTGTTAAACCCACTAGTAGACGCTAAGATATTTCACCAAGTGTGGTACTGGCACAACCAACCAACAGAACATAGTCCAAAAAACACACAGACATATATGAACACATAATTGATGACAAATATCACAATGTAAACCAGTGGGGAAAGGATGGTGTTTTCAAAAATAATTCTACATTAACCGTACAAAAAAAGGAATCTGACATCTATCTCATACAAAAGTAGACACTCATTCCAATGAAAGAGACGTAAATGTGAATGCCAAAACAATAAATATTTGAAAAGATAACAAAAGAGATTATCTTCATGACCTCAAAGCAGGAAAAGTCGTCTGAAATAGTACACAACACCAACAATAAACTTAATAAACTAATCTAGGGATTGGTAAACTTCTTCTGTAAAAACTCAGACATTAAATATTTGGCCAGTCATCGTGGCTCACACCTGTAATCTCAGCACTTCGGGAGGCCAAGGCAGGTAGATCACGAGGACAGGAGTTCAAGACCAGCCTGGCCAAGTGAAACCCCGTCTCTACTAACATACAAAATTAGCCAGGTGTGATGGCACGTGCCTGTAATTTCAGCTACTTGGGAGACTTAGCCAGGAGAATCCCTTGGGCCCTAAAGGCAGAGGCTACAGTGAGCCAAGATCGCACCACTGCACTCTAGCCTGGGTGACAGAGCGAGACTCTCTCCAAAAAAAAAAAAAAAAATCAGACATCATTAAATTTGGGGCTTTGCAGGCCAAAAGGTTCCTGTCACAACTACTCAACTCTGCCACTGAAGCCACAGATTAAATGGAAATGAGTGAATGAGCAGGGAGGTGTCGGGATTGTGAGGGGGACAAGACGGCAGCTTCAGGAGTGCTGGCAATGTTTGTTTTGACCTATGTATTCATTATTTGCACCATGGATTTGTAATAATTTATTAAGTTCTATATTTAAACTTTAAGGGGTTTTCTGTCTATCTGCTACACATGTAGAAATAAGATTCATTAAAAATTAAAATACGTAATCCTAGCACTTTGGGAGGCCAAGGCGGGTGGATCACGAGGTCAGCAGACTGAGACCAGCCTGGCCAACATGGTGAAACCCCGTCTCTACTAAAAATACAAAAATCAGCTGGGGATGGTGGCGCGTGCCTGTAATCCCAGCTACTCGGGAAGCTGAGGCAAGAGAATTGCTTGAATCTGGAAGCAGAAGTTCCAGTGAGTCAAGATTGCACCACTGTACTCCAGCCTGGTAATAGAGCGAGACTCCGTCTCAAAAAAAAAAAAAAAATTAATTAATTAAAATTAAAATACATTTTAATTTATTGATCAAAAAAAACTGAACTACATCCAAAAGAAAATTGAAACCTGTGTAAAATAAAAATTAAGAAAGCAGTTTGAGTCAATAGGCTGCACTCATTTCAGGGTTATCACTGGAAGGTTATTCACTATAGGTCCCTATGTTATGACCAAAAAAGGTATCTGCCAGGAAGTCTTTGTGTCTTCAGAGGAGTCTGTCTGTATCCAGTGTCTTCCTTTCTGCCGTGGTTGTTGAAAACATAAGAAACATATGAAGCTCAACTTATTGACTCTAACTTGGCCCTGCTATTGATCTGTTACTTTATATTTTCTGGGAAGTTTATCTATTACTAATTTCTCATCTTAACATATTGACTCTTGGCCAGGCACAGTGGCTCATGCTTGTAAACCCAGCACTTTGGGAGGCCAAGGCAGGCAGACTGAGCTCAGGAGTTCGCGACCAGCCTGGGCAACATGGTGAAACCCCATCTCTATTAAAGTGCAAAAAATTAGCCAGGCGTGGCAGCGTGAGCCGGCAGCTCCAACTACTTGGGAGGCTGACACAGAAGAATTGCTTGAACCCGGGAGGCAGAAGTTGCAGTGAATCAAGATGGAGACACTGTACTCCACTCTGGGTGACAGAGCGAGACTCCATCTCACACAAAAACAAAAAAACAAAAACATCACCATATTGACTCTTACAAATTTCACAAAGTCCACTGCAAAATAAAGTAGGGAATTAAATAAACAACTTACCTTGTTCATTTTGTTCTGTTCTTGGAAAGACGGAGACAACTCTGAAGATACAGCTAAGTTAGAAAAAGAGGAATGGGATCATGAAAGATTTGGCCCGCCTGGCAACTCCCTGATTCTTCTGCCCTAAGAAGCCATACACACCCACTAGGTAAAATGCTCCCTCTGGGAGAATATCAATGTCCTCTGACACTCCGGAATAGGAGGTAGAAATGGTGAAAGACCACCCTAATATAACTCCAACATAATTACGCAGCTCTTGGGCACAAGATTTTTCACCAGGTGAAAGTAAATATTTGCTTCCTAAGGATTTCAATCTCCCTCGGTGTTCACAAAAAATGTACAATGATAATATTGGCTAAACAAGTTAACAATATATTTAATGAAGGAACATTAACACTAAAACCATTGTAAAAAATAGGACTAAGCTATTGATTTTCCCAGTAATGTTAACCTCTGGTGAGTGACTCCACAGAAAGCCATAAGCAGCAGTGCTTCAAAGAAAAAATCTATTTTAATTTTTTCGTGTAACTTTGTTGCTATTTCTCAAAGGGATATTTTAAACTTGCTTTGACGTGTATGGAAAAGTAGACAGTACTGGCTTAGGGGTCAGATGTGACTTAGTCTTCCCTACTAACAAACTGTGATCCTGAACAAGTCAATAACCTTGACAAAAAAAAAAAAATTTTCTTCTAACAAATGAGGCAAAATTAGTTTTTTTTTTTCCCCCCCGAGACGGCATTTCGCTCTTGGTGCCCAGTCTGGAGTGCAATGGTGCGATCTCGGCTACCTGCAACCTCCGCCTCCCGGGTTCAAGCAATTCTCCGCCTCATTAGCTGGGATTACGGGTATGCGCTACCACGCACAACTACATTTCGTATTTTTCGTAGAGACGGGCTTTCACCATGTTGGTCAGGCTGGTCTCGAATTTCTGACCTCAGGTGATCCACCCGCCTCGGCCTCCCAAAGTGCTGGGATTACAGGTGCTAAGAGCCACCGCGCCCAGCCAAAATTAGGTAATTCTTGAAGATCTTTCCTGAGTGCAAGATGAAGTCAGGACAGAGGAACAGCAAATACCAAGATGCAGTGATAGACCTGACTGGAAGGCAGTTCGGAACCTAAAGAGGACGAATGCAGAACGTGGAACGGAGTCGGTCGGTGGGGCAGGCCACTGCACTCGCCCTTCCCCGCTCAGGTACGGTCGCGCCCTAGCACACCGGCTCCCGCTTGACCAAAGAACTGCCCCTCCCGCAAGGCTCAGCGCACGGACCACGTAAGCGCACATGCCCTCCTCTGCGGCCCCTACAACCGGGGCGACACACGCGGTGTGGCCCGCTCTGGACAGAGACTGCGCCTTTAAGGAACAGGCCTAGCGTCCTGGCAGACATGCTGCAGCCCTGCCGTCCCCGGCTTCCCCTGTGAGGTCCCCGAGGCTCCTCCCCGCCACCTGGCACCGGCCCCCTGCCGCCCGCCCCCGGAGTCGCGCGGGGCCCCCTCGCCCTCCCTGCCCAACCCACCCAGGCTTACCTCACTCTCTCATCTGGTTGCATTCGCCGTAGAAGAGCTGGTAGACCCTTGAAATCGCGCGACCGCCTCCCACGCAAAACCTGAGAAAAACAAAAGGAAATCCGGAAACGCACAGGTAGACGGTGGACAAGGCATGCGCGCAGCTAGCGCGCAAAGCCTGACGGTGTTGGCGCCCAACCTGAAAACTACCTTTCCCGTGAGGCCCCGCGAGCAACCCTTCGGGATTGGCTGAGAGGCGCCCCGCTAGGCAGTGGGCAGATGCCGTTGGAGTTGGTGCGGGAGCTTCCTGCAGCCCTGGCTCTCCCAGGGCGCCCCAAAGGGATGCACTGCAGGGGAGGTCTGTGTGCAGCGTGTGTGCAGTTTAGACACAGACGCGTCAAGAAGAGTTCAGCTGCCTGTCAGTTGCACTTTAAATGTTAGGAAGTAGATCTCATCCATACAAAAAGACTTTGACACTATCTGCGATTCTTTGGGAGCGGGAAAAAGGGGAGGTGCCACAGGAAAGCTACTTCATCAAAATCGTTAAAGCAATAACGATTTTCTGACTGAGCTACAATAATCCGAAAGAAGAAAATAAATGTCACATATTATTTCCTCTGTGACATTAAAATTGCTTGACTAAATGGAAATACATTTAGTCCATCTGTACCTTTCTTAGGAAGACAAAATCCCTAAAAGAAAATCAACAAATTTTTGAGTGTATTTTTTCTCTTTGATCTTTAGTGTATTGTGTACTTCACAAAAGCATTCTCAACTTTATCTGGAATAAGTAAAAACCTAAATAACACCCAGTATACGTTTTAAAAAGCAGGAAAAAATGCATAAGAAATATCTATATCTATCTGTCTATATAATATTGCTCTATTCAAAGTAGTTTGGCACCTGCTCCGTGGAAATAAGACACCATGATTAAGAGTATTCTTTAATGTGTAGTAAATACAGCATCTCAAAACAGTGAGGGAAAGAATGGAGTATTCCAAAGAGCATGTCATTCCGAGCAATTTGGAATATAGAGGTATACATAGATCACACATGATAAACTCTCACATGTATACAATACTTAAACATTAAAACCACTAAACGAGTATAAAGTTTTGAAAATTGGCAAGGGGGCCAGGCACAGTGGCCCACACCTGTAATCCCAGCAATTTGGGAGGCAGAGGCAAGAGGACCACTTGATCCTTGGAGTTCAAGACCAGCCTGGGCACTATAGTGGGACCCCTATCTCTACAAAAAATTAAAAATAACGGTTAGCTGGGCATGTAGGCAGGTGCCTGTGATCCCAGCTACTCAAGAGGCTGAGGTTGGATGATCACTTGAGCCCCGGGCTGCAGTAAGCCATCATGGCACCACTGTGCTACAGCCTGGGTGTCAAAGTGAGACCTTGTCCCAAAAAAAACCAAAAAGGGATGTGATGCCAAAGATAGAAACTATAAATTTAATATCAGTTACATTTTATCATACAGAAAAATAAGCAACTCCATTCCAGCAAAACTTTTTTAGTCTATTACGAGAATTGAAAGAAATGCAAATATGGCCAGACATGGTGGCTCACACCTGTAATCTCAGCACTTTGGGAGGCTGAGGCGGGCAGATCATGAGGTCAAGAGATCCAGACTATCCTGCGCAACATGGTGAAACCCCTTCTGTACTAAAAATACAAAAATTAGGTGGGGCGTGGTGGTGTGCACCTGTAGTCCCAGCTACTCGGGAGGCTGAGGCAGGAGAATTGCTTGAACCTGGGAGGTGGAGGTTGCAGTGAGCCAAAATCGCACTACTGCACTCCAGCATGGTGACAGAGTGAGACTGCATCTCAAAAAAAAAAAAAAGTGCAAATATTTGAGTGAAAATATGTGAAACATTTATTGAAATTTACATTTTTAAATTTATGCTTTATATACTGAAAAGTTCTTTATTTGGTGCATAATTTTATGAGTTTTGAAAATGCATAGATTTGTGTAACCACCACCACAAGCAAGATACAAAATTGTTTCATCTCTGTCAATAAAATTCCTCCATACTACCTTTTTGAAGTCATATTCCCTCACCACTCTTAGCCTCTTGCAACCACTATCTATTCTTTGGGCCTATATGTTTGCCTTTTTTAGAATATTATATAAATGGAATCATACAGTATGTAGTCTTTGAATCTGGTATCTCTTTTATTATTATTATTATTATACTTTAAGTTCTAGGGTACATGTGCATAATATGCAGGTTTGTTACATATGTATACTTGTGCCATGTTGCTGTGCTGCACCCATCAACTCGTCAGCACCCATCAACTCGTCATTTACATCAGGTATAACTCCCAATGCAATCCGCCCCCCCATGATAGGCCCCAGTGTGTGATGTTCCCCTTCCCGAGTCCAAGTGATCTCATTGTTCAGTTCCCACCTATGAGTGAGAACATGCGGTGTTTGGTTTTCTGTTCTTGTGATAGTTTGCTAAGAATGATGGTTTCCAGCTGCATCCATGTCCCTACAAAGGACACAAACTCATCCTTTTTTATGGCTGCATAGTATTCCATGGTGTATATGTGCCACATTTTCTTAATCCAGTCTGTCACTGATGGACATTTGGGTTGATTCCAAGTCTTTGCTATTGTGAATAGTGCCGCAATAAACATACGTGTGCATGTGTCTTTATAGCAGCATGATTTATAATCCTTTGGGTATATCCCCAGTAATGGGATGGCTGGGTCATATGGTACATCTAGTTCTAGATCCTTGAGGAATCGCCATACTGTTTTCCATAATGGTTGAACTAGTTTACAATCCCACCAACAGTGTAAAAGTGTTCCTATTTCTCCACATCCTCTCCAGCACCTGTTGTTTCCTGACTTTTTAATGATTGCCATTCTAACTGGTGTGAGATGGTATCTCATTGTGGTTTTGATTTGCATGTCTCTGATGGCCAGTGATGATGAGCATTTTTTCATGTGTCTGTTGGCTGTATGAATGTCTTCTTTTGAGAAATGTCTGTTCATATCCTTTGCCCACTTTTGGATGGGGCTGTTTGTTTTTTTCTTGTAAATTTGTTTGAGTTCTTTGTAGGTTCTGGATATTAGCCCTTTGTCAGATGAGTAGATTGCGAAAATTTTCTCCCATTCTGTAGGTTGCCTGTTCACTCTGATGGTAGTTTCTTTTGCTGTGCAGAAGCTCTTTAGTTTAATGAGATCCCATTTGTCAATTTTGGCTTTTGCTGCCGTTGCTTTTGGTGTTTTAGACATGAAGTCTTTGCCCATGCCTATGTCCTGAATAGTACAACCTAGGTTTTCCTCTAGGTTTTTATGGTATTAGGTCTAACATTTAAGTCTCTAATCCATCTTGAATTAATTTTTGTATAAGGAGTAAGGAAAGGATCCAGTTTCAGCTTTCTACTAATGGCTAGCCAATTTTCCCAGCACCATTTATGAAATAGAGAATCCTTTCCCCATTTCTTGTTTCTCTCAGGTTTGTCAAAGATCAGATGGCTGTAGATGTGTGGTATTATTTCTGAGGACTCTTTTCTGTTCCATTGGTCTATA